GAAAGAGTGAGTGTTTTTCAAGAGTTATTTAAACAAGATTTAGTTGTTGGGCAATTCACAGATTGGGTAAGAGAAAGTGATGTTAATAATTCTTAAATACAAAACCATGTCGTGGAATGGGTTGTTGTTTTAGGAATCTTAGGGCTTAATGCTTACAGAAGGAGATAACAGAATTGAATCTAAACTGACTCCCTGAAATAAAGAAGACCAGGGAGAGTTCCCATCCCTACTCCTGTCTGACACAGATCACTATACAGCTGTGGGGATAACTTGTCAACCTGTGAAATGCCAGTGCAAGTCTTGATGCAGGCAGATTTCCCTCCAAACTGGGTTGAAGATATGCACTTGACTCCTTTTTCATCCTTCCTTTCGCTAGTGCCTCTGTCTTGTTTTTCTGGCATCATGCCTGTCATTTAATTGGAGCAAAGGAAAAAAACCACCACCCTGTGAGTTTTCCAGGGTTACCCAAAGTAAGGACTATGTTACTGGTGTGAAGAGCTGAGGTGGGCTGGGATATATAGGCTGTGCCAAGCAGGGTTTCCTTAGGGGAGTGAGTGGTTGGAGAAACCTGTTGACAGTTCTGCACTCCAGTGTACTGATCTGTAAAAGGCTTTGCTTTGTGCAGGGGTGTCATTAACTGAGTGGCCACAGTGAAAGCCTGGGCAGGCCCTTGATAAAAATGGGAGAGTGCAGTCCTCCTGCCTGACAAAGATGAAAGGGTCCTTCAAGCCTTTGCTCTTCTAGAGGTAGACAGGAGCCTGGCAAGATGATGGGGACGTAGAAGTGAGCCATAGAGAGCAAATTGGCTAACTTGTTCAGATGAGCAATACCAAAGATATTTTTCCATTGCATCCCTTACCCTAGTTACATTCCTTGATGTAATTTGTGGTGAACTTTACCATATTCCTGTCCATGCTCCAGGCGTTGAACTGTATGGAATAAGGGTAGTGTGAGCTGGCTTTAAGTGTTGCAGATCATATCTGTATTTAACAAATTGTATTCTTTTAATGGATCAAAAAATAGAAGTAGGTTTTTTTTTTCTCTGTTGCTTTTTCTGTCTATGGAATTTGCAGGAAAAATAGAACTGGAAAGAGCAAAATATTCTTGAGCAATGCATTACACGTGATAAGATTTCTGTAGGAGGGACTGCAATGCTAGCCAAAACGGGGGGTGGAGGAAAATGTAAATGCTACGAGTTGTTGATGTGTTTATTAAGCATAGAAATAGTAGTTCACTAGGGGATGAAATGATATTATTGATTATTGAATTATCTTTTTGTGAATGACGAATCAATGCTTAGATGTTTGACAGCTGTCTAACATTTCAGACCAGTCCTCCGCCAACTTCAACCCAGTCACCAGAAAGCACCATGGATACTTCACTGAAAAAAGAGAAGCCAGCCATTTTGGATCTGTACATACCACCTCCACCAGCTGTTCCATATTCTCCTCGGTATGCAAATAAATATGCACTTCTGAACAAAAACCTCCTTTATTACACTTGTTTCTGAGCTGGCGTGCTGTTAGAGCTCTGTGCAGATTAGCTTGAGGAAACTGCAGATCTCATAGACTTTCTTCTAGTTGCTTAAATGAGTAGGATTGCTTAAACTTATGCTTAAATGCATAAACTACCAGGATCATAATAAGATTTTATTATTAGAAGATTATTATGTGCCACATGGATCAGCGTTGTTCCCAAAACATGAATGGATGTCATCCCTGGTTTTGTTGCGGTGTTACGTTTTTGATGTTGTTTAAATCCAGCTGCACATAGCAAGAAGTCATTTTTGTCTGTAACTTTTTCCACTTTTTTTTTTAGCAAGTTAAGTAAATGTTGTGGGAGTTAGGATAGAACATAACTTGTTTTAAATTGTTAAACTTGCAAGCTGTATAAAACAAAAATGTTACTACTAAAGGGAAGGGAGAGTCAATTCATTCAACTTTTTTTTTTTTTTTTTTATCCTGTGGTGTAAGCTGTAAAAATGCAGACCTGTGTACAAAAAAGCAGGGTGGGGGAGTGTATGGTTTGACTAGCTTTTGTTTGTTCTCAAGTCCATGTTGACTCATGCCAGAACTGCCAGCTGACCTGGGAAGGTGATGGACAAGAGTTTTCAGGGAAGGCATGCTTCCTGGCCTGCCCTGACACTTTAGGTTACATGTAGATAGCCTGGCACAGAAACTCTGACCTTTTGCTGCAGGATTCATATGGGAGGAGAGCTTGCCTCCTCTTATGCTTACGTGGTTGATAGAGAAACAGAGGTTGTATTACTGCAGGCTTTGCAGCAGTACCGAGGCTGGGGAGAGAGTTTCTCCAAGGTAGAGTCTCTTTACTGAAGTTGGACCCACCTTGACCCTGCTCTATCCCTGGTTTTCATGCTTATGTGTGCTCAATTCTTAACAAAAACCAAGCAAAAAATATCTTGGCATACAAAGCATATAGATTAAGAGTTTAGAATGCCTTGGGCTTTTCTTTAAATTGTTACCTTTCAAGCACATTGGTGAATTATGTGCATGTGCTCAGTTTGTTTATCTTTCCTAAAGAATCACAAAATTATATCTAGCTTCAGATGCCTGAATCCCTGTTGACAAGGAAAGAAGTAGCAATGTAAGCTGTAAAACTTGTCCTGGATGATGTGCAGAAAGGGGAAGGCTTCTTGACTTTGACTTTTAAAGAAAGCAAATGTGGGAAGCTGTGGCAGCCAGGAAGAGGAGAAAGGGCAGTTCTTTCACCTTATGTTTGGCTATTTAATTTCATCTCTGCATGTTTTGCTGCTCTTTTGAAACTGGTGCATTCGTGTGATCACTTCTTCTTTTCCCCCTCATCATCCTGTTCACTTCCCTTCCTGGCATGGATCTTCTCTGGTCCACGCTGGGGACGCAAAGAGCAGTGGCTTGTTTCCTGCCTCATGGCACACTCTCCACAGGGTGGTGTTGTAGGAGAGCTCTCTGCCTACATACGGTTGTGGTGTAACACTTCTGTGCAACTTTCAGTCCCTGTATCTCCATAAATAGGTTCCTCCCGTTCACTGAGCTCTAGCATTGTTCTTGATGGAGGGATGGAAAAAGTGCTATGTGCTGGCCAGAGGGCTGATGTGAATACTGTGGTATGCACATGCTTAGACAGTCAGCTGTGTATTTCTATGCCTGACTTGGCTGATGGTTGGTTCAAGCAGTAAGATTGTAGCATGTACAGGGAAGGGGGTTAAAAAAAAAAAAAAAAAAAAAAAAGGCCAAGGCAAATCTTAACTAGGAGGGTAGCTTTTCTTCCAAAAGCACTCACAAGGACTGGTTATAAAAATGGCTGTTCACAGCCTTTGGAATGAGGGATTGCTCTGGGAAGAGAGTTGCTGCAGAAGTTGCTCAAAATCATATCTATATACACTATGAATTTATTACTGAAACTCTGAAGGGGGTGTCACTTTTGGACGGAGAGAGAAGGTGATGAACATTCAGTGGCAGTTATTGAGTTCTTAGAAGACTGAAAAGCATAGTCCCTCAGATGGAGACGATAGGTGTTGCCGTTGCACGGAGATGGATAAATCTGTGTGTATGCTCCTCTCTCACAACTGTGTACTGAACAGGCAGTGAATTGGGAGCTTTGATACCCTCAGGACAGAAAGGTCTCATTTCTCAAAAGCTTTTTCAGGGATGTGTTGTTCTTCTAGACTTCTCCGTGTGTTAAATTACTGGCTTATTAGAAGTGAATTAGCATCAGGGGAGTAGCTTTCTTTTCTCCTTGGTAAATATATTTGTAATGAAGTCTTCCGTCACCTGACTTGTTTTTTTTTTCAGCTTCTTTGCAGCACAATGCCAGTTGTCAGGAGCATGACTGGGTGCTAGAAGCATCTTTCAAACCTATTCATGTCTGTAGCATGAAACTCTTTTTAAGCTACTAACTGAAGTGAAATGTCCTTTCAGAGATGAAAAGGGGAGTTTTATATATGGAGGAGGCAACAAACCCAGTCAGCTGCTACCTGGCTCTAAAGGCGCCGAGTCTCCCAATTCTTTTCTGGATCAGGAGAGTCGAAGGCGAAGGTTTACTATTGCCGATTCGGATCAGTTGCCTGGGTATTCCATGGAAGCAAATATCCTACCAGCCAAGATGAGGGAAAAAACACAGTCCTATGGTGAGTTCATTCCTCTTTCATTATTGCTGTTACGAGAAATGCTTTGGTCAGTTTGGAACAATTTGTGTTAGAAAACTGCTTGTTAGACTTGATGGATATTAAGGGCAGTTGGTGCAAATTGTGAATGGGAATGAAATTCCACATCTGAAATAATTTCACTTAAATGCTGTTATTTCTTTAATGAATGTCATTCAGCTGGGCTCTGCTGAATGGTTGGCTATTTCCATGTGTGTTTTGGTTATAACTTTTCATTATGTCCACTGCTGCTCTAAATGACCAAAAGTGTGACCGTTCAATCTCAGCATGTTGCTTTCTTATATTTCACCAGTGGAAGTATCTTGAAATATTTTTTTTTCTCCACTTTTAACTCCTTACTGCTGTATGTCTCCCTTTGCTTAATTGTGAAAAGTATCAATTTAAAAATTGATTTCCTAAACTTAATGTAATTCTTCATAAGCTTCTATGTTGCCTTTAGGAAAACCTCGTCCTTTGTCAATGCCTGCTGATGGGAGCTGGATAGGAGCTGCAGAACCCTTCTCTAGGCCGCGAGCACCCGGGAGAAAAGGCAAGGTTTTAGGACTCATCCTTCTTTCTCTTCCCTTTCCTCTCCAAAATTTCCTTGTGGTGAACTGGATGGAAGTGTTTAAATTGGGAACAGAGGATTAGAGTTTGCATATTGCTGAACT